GAATGCCGGTGTAAGTTATGATGTGCAGCTGAGCTTGGGGAGACGTGGACAGGGTTTATTTACACCACCCTCCTCCAGTGTAGAGTTCTGCTAAAGATCGATTTGGTCACGCTGACTGACTAAAAGTGCTGTTCCCTTCTCACGTGTGGTGAGTAGCCATGCTTCTGTCCCAGAACTGTCCCCTTGCAGTTACCTTAACCACACCGTGCCCCTGACCTCTGTATTTGGGAGTCTTGGGGACAATTAGAGTGACAAATTAGCTTTGTCTCTAATGGCCCTAGACTGAAGGATTCCACTCTGTCCCATAATCTGAGGCCTAAACAGGTTGACTCTAGAATGGCCGGACTTCAGACCAGGCATTCGCCTCAGAGGGGGCTGGGTTACCCATCACCTGCTTTGCTGCGTGGAAGAATTGTCCGTACTCTCTAAGGTGGCTCCTCCTGAGTCCCCAGCATACCCCAGTCTTGCTGCCTGCCCGCCCGTCCACCGCATTACTTTGCTGTCTGGGATCATTCTGGGCATTTGCTTAAATGGCTCTGGGGTCAGGCCATGGCACTGCCTGTTTCCAGTTGTTCTGACACAAATTCCATACGCATGGAATGGTACCTTCATGTCGTTGGCCACGGCCCTAAAGAGAATCCCTCAGAGTCCCTGAGTGAAGTCCGTCCATGTGCATCCTTGGGATATTCTTTATAGCTCATCATGTCTGAGAGTGTGGGCCTGGGAGCTAGCCCCAGAATCACACAGTTAGCGCCGTGTGCTCCCCAGGGGGACCGCCAGCTGGAGCACTCAGGCTGTGAGGACCAGCAGATCGCAGCTCATTGTGTGGCTTGTTGTCTAAAGTGAGGGGCTCTGTGTCACTTTTGGAAGGAGGTGCCGTCGACACGTAGCGCTGAGCCGTGCGGCTCGGTTGGAGTGGCCGCGGCCGGTAGCCTCTGGAGGAGGCAGAGCCGCCCTAGGAGATGAGCGGTAACCCCGGGTTCCAACTGGAGTACAGGCCGGGCCTGTGTACTGCTTGCGGAGATGTGAGACAGTCACAGAACATGCTTTTCAGGCAGTCTGAAATCAGTCCAATGGTGGCCTCGGATACAGTTCTGCAGACCAGCAGCGTGTGTGCCAGGTCTTGTCTACACATTGCTTTCTGTTGCAGGCGCTGCTGATCGTATATAAACTCTTAATTTTCAGGGACTGCAGCCACAAGCATTTGTGTTTTATGTGTACTTTCTCTTTAAGTATCTCCCTGGGTTTTTAATGTTAGAATTTATGCGTGTATTTCAGTTCAGAATTTATTGGTCAGAGCTATCTGCACTAAAATGTCTTTGCTGTGTTTTAACATTTGTGAATAAGGCTTAAAATCTTTCTGTGATTACACTTTGCAAGTGAAGTTTCATAAGTCTTTATAACTTTTGTAAATCAAGTTCCTGATAGTTTAGGTTACCATGTAAACTCTAAAATGCCTGCGTTGTGTTTTAGAGGCTCACAACTTCTTATTTCTTGTTAGGTGCCAACATCTTCCTTACCTCATCTGGACTAATCAAGCTGGGAGATTTTGGATGCTCAGTAAAGCTCAAAAACAATGCTCAGACCATGCCTGGTGAAGTGAATAGCACGCTGGGGACAGCAGGTGGGTCCGGCTAGATTTGTCTTTGCATTGGGGCTCACTCCAGTGTGCTGGGACCCTGGCTTTCCCTTTTCCTCCTGGTCAGCAGACGTGGAGAGCAGGTGAGGGCTTCTAACCAGATGGGGGAGGAGCCACCCCTGAAAGCGCTTGTCAGATTGGGAAATCACTTTTCTCCCTTAGACTTAAAGGAGGGAAGAAAGGCCTCTTTTCTTCCCGGAAAAACCTTGTCATTCACGTTGGGTTTATTAAAACTATTCTAGTCAAAACAGCATGTTTAAATGGTGATTATTTGATTGTTTAGAAACACGTCATAAAATTTTACATCCTCCTTTGCAGGTTAAATTTCATATTCTCGTTGCAAATACAATTTATCTGAATATTTGCATATTCAAAATTGTCTTTTAGAAGATATTTTGGCTCCTAAAATGTCCATCCGAGAAATTGATTTGAAATATTTATTTTCAAGTCTTGATGTTTCTTAGTATGTAATTCAGAGAAAGTTCCTCCCCCACCACCCGCGAACAAATTAGTTGTTTCTTCTATGTGGAATATTAGGCAATATTAGTGTATTGCTTGGCTCTGGTACTACATGGTGCTATATTTATAACCCATTCTTATCACCATATCTGTGACTTTTAAAGCATACATGGCCCCAGAAGTCATCACTCGCGCCAAAGGAGAAGGCCATGGGCGTGCGGCCGACATCTGGAGTCTAGGGTGCGTTGTCATAGAGATGGTGACTGGCAAGGTGAGCAGAGCCTGCACCGGGGGCAGGGGGACTTGAGGAGGGCACTTTACGTTAACAGAGCAGTAACTGTGGTCTTACTATCATTATGAATACCGTGGACACATTTCCTGCAAAATAGAGAACATGACCTGTCAAAAGATAAGTAAGTTAAGACAAGTGACAAACTAGGAACCAAATATTTATAAGATACATGACTTAGAGAATTCCTCAGAGGAACAAAAAAAGCATAATGCTCAAATTAAAACATAGAATTAAGCAGCTGTGAAAAGAAACAGGAAGTTGAAAACTTACGTCTCCACAAAGACTGGCACAAGAATGCCCATATCAGTTTTATTCATAATTGCCAAAACTTGGAAGCAACCAAGATATCTTTCAAATGGATAAACTGTGGTAATCTACATGATGGAATATTGTACAGCAACCAAAAGAAATTGGGCCATGAAACGACATGGGGAAACCTTAAAAGCACATTGCTGGGCTTCCCTGGTGGTGCAGTGGTTGGGAGCCCGCCTGCTGATGCAGGGGACACGGGTTCGTGCCCTGGTCCAGGAAGATCCCACATGCCGCGGAGCAGCTGGGCCCGTGAGCCATGGCTGCTGAGCCTGCGTGTCCAGAGTCTGTGCTCCGCAACGGGAGAGGCCACAACAGCGAGAGACCCGCGTACCGGAAATAAATAAATAAATAAATATACACTTTTGTATCAGTGACCATAGAGACCCACTGGTAAATGCCAAATTTTCGGAAAAAAAAAAAAAAAAAAAAAGCATATTGCTAAGTGAAAGAAACCAATCTGGGGAATTCCCTGCTGGTCCAGTGGTTAGGACTCGGCACTTTCATTGCTGAGGGCACAGGTTCGATACCTGGTCGGGGAAATAAGATCCTGCAAGACTCGAGGCATGGCCAAAAAAAGAAACAAGCCAATCTGAGAACACCACGTACTGTATGATTCCAACTATATGACATTCCAGAAGAGGCAAAACAGTAAAGGCAGTAAAGGATCAGTGGTTGACAGGGCCTCTGGGAGAGGGAGGGAAGGACAAATAGGTAGAGCACAAGCATTTGCAGGGCAGTGAAACTGTGGTGTATGACATAGTATCTGAAAATTGATCTTCTGATGAAGATACCACTAATGAACAATTATACAAATATATAGAGGCACAGTGTGTGTGGGGGTGTAGCCATTACTTATAAAGCAAAAAAGTTAGAAACCTCTTAAGTGTTACTAGTAGGAAATTATTATGCAGCTATACCTCGCAGCTGCTGAAAATAAGTGCTTAGTAACTATTAGCTAATATTATTTCTATTAGCATTAACATAGAAAGATGCCCACGGTACCTGTTATTTCAGTCAAGCCGTGCATCAGAAAAAGAACACGTTCTCACATTGAAGAACATATGTCTCAATAACTAAATGATGGTACACAAATTAGAACCATACAAACTCAGTCCTTTCCCTCATGAATCTCATTTCCCTGTAATCATAATAAAGTAATCTAAGCTTTGCAAATTATCAATAATTTGATGCCGATTATTCAACAAGGTAGCATATTAAACATCCCTGTATGACAGCTGTTGAATTATGTTGGGTTGACATTTTTATATTAGTTTATATGTTACATTTTTTATTTACATGATGATGGCATCTAGATAATACTGGACTAATTGGACACCTAAATGGGGTAGGCAGACTATGCTCACCACCTGGTTTCGTAAATAAAGTTTTGTTGGCACATGGTCATACCCATTCCTTTATTATATTATAGCCTAAGGCTGCTTTCACGCTACAGTGGGAGAATTGAATAGGTGTGACAGAGACCATATGGCCTGCAAGCCTAAAATAGTTACTGTTTGGCCCTTGAAGTAAAAGTTTGCCAGCCTGAATATGTATCAACATTGAGATGCCTAAAAAGAGATTGGGCAGTTGCATTTCTGTATGGCCATGTAGTATTGAAACCTGATTTTTTTTTTTTCTGTTTCTAGAGACCTTGGCATGAATATGAGCACAACTTTCAGATTATGTACAAAGTGGGAATGGGGCATAAGCCACCAATCCCTGAAAGATTAAGCCCAGAAGGAAAGGACTTCCTTTCTCACTGCCTAGAAAGTGAGCCCAGGATGAGGTGGACGGCCAGCCAGCTCCTCGACCATTCCTTCGTCAAGGTTTGGCAGATTGCTGTGTAGCCCTCTCCTTGTTTAAATATTTGAGTTTTGATCGCATCTGGCACTTAAGGAAATTCGGAAACTGAAATATAAAATATCTGTATCTGAGATGGGGAGGCGCTAAATGTATTGTGCTGGGGGCTTCGTATGATTTTTCTTGTGGAAAAGTGTTCATTGAGGCTCTCCTCCTTGATCCAGTTGTTTGGATGGTTTGAGGTGCACTTGGGACTATTAAATGGAGTTTTAAATGGGACTGGATGAAAGGCACAGCTTTCCCTCTTTTAGAGTATACGGTCTCCTTGAGTACAGGTTAGTAACAACAAATCTCTACTGGGAGGGTGGAGACAGGGGAGTAATGACTAAGCATTATGTTAAGAGCTGTGATAATGGTATATATGCCATGTTGTAGGGTCACTGAAAAGAGGAATTTAATCCAGTCGGGTAATCCCAGCTATTACTCTTTTTTTTCTTTTTTTTCTTTTCTTTTTTTACTCTTTGTATTTATTTTTGGCTGTGTTGGGTCGTCCTTGTGATGAGCGGGGGCTACTCTTTTTTGAGGTGCGCGGGCTTCTCACTGCGGTGGCTTCTCTCGTTGCAGAGCCTGGGGTCTAGGCGCGTGGGCTTCAGTAGTTGTGGCGCACAGGCTTAGTTGCTCCTCGACATGTGGGATCTTCTCGCACCAGGGCTCGAACCCGGGTCCCCTGCATTGGCGGGCGGATTCTTCCCTGGTGGTGCAGTGGTTAAGAAAGTCCCTATTAACTTTCTTTAGAGTGAGATGCCTGAGCTGTTTGGGAGGGTTTAGCCAGGTCAGGAAACGCAGGGAGGAGTATGGCGGACAGAATGGAAGAGACATGGAAAGGCTCACTGCTAAGAGGGTAAAGCACCCAAAGAACTGTGTATAGGTACATACTGATGGAGCACAGGATGTGGAAAGTGGCAAAACATAAGGCTGGGAAAGTAAGCAGGGACCACATGAAGGGATTTCAGTTTTATTGTAAGCATGACATGATTAAATTGTGTTTTAGAACAGTCACTCTGGAGGTGAGAGACTAGTTGGGAAGCTGCTGACACAGCTGCTGGGTTGGGAGTGGGAGGTCAGGGGTGAGTCACCAGCCATATATAGGAGTTAGAATGGCCGTGAGTGAGTAACTGATGGGATGTGAAAGGTGCGTGACGGGGAGGAGTCCAGGACGGCTCCCGGGCTCTGGCTTGTGTCACCAGGTTATCAAGATTCCATTTGCCAAGATAGGTAAAGAGGGCATCTGGTTGAGGGTTGGGTCGGGAGATGATGGTCTCCTCTTTGGTAGATTGAGTTCGAGGCATATTTGGAGTATCTGTTGGGGGATTTTAGACAGCCATTTGGATATTTTGGACTGGCACTCGAGAGAACTGGGATAGGATACGGATTTGAGAGAGAGAAATATTGCTGGGAGAGCATTTAGAGGAGACATGGAATGAGAGTGGAAACCTGGAGAAAACATTTACAGGGTCCTGCAGAGGAGCTCCTGATACAGGAAAGGAAGATTCAAGAGAGGGGTCACATTATTCCTGGGTGAGTGAAATTAAGTAATCAATAGCTGGATATGCTGCGTAGATATTAGGGATTTGTAATTAAATAAAAATGTATTTATTCTTTATAAAGTATATAAGCAATTTTTATTGACTTGATATTGTACAAATATGTTCTTTTTATTAATGTATTAAGCCCTTTTAAAACAAATTATTTATTTATTTATTTTTGGCTGCATTGCGTCTTCGTTTCTGTGCGAGGGCTTTCTCTAGTTGCGGCGAGCGGGGGCCACTCTTCACCGCGGTGCGCGGGCCTCTCACTATCGTGGACTCTCTTGTTGCGGAGCACAGGCTCCAGACGCGTAGGCTCAGTAGTTGTGGCTCACGGACGTAGTTGCTCTGCGGCATGTGGGATCTTCCCAGACCAGGGCTCGAACCCGTGTCCCCTGCATTGGCAGGCGGACTCTCAACCACTGCGCCACCAGGGAAGCCCCACAAATACGTTCTTAAAAATGCTTTCAATAGTCAATTCCTAGAGCAGTAACTTAGCCCTGACATTTCATTGCATTGATTACGCCTTTGCTCTGTGCCAGGCACAGTGCTGGGAGCATCAAGATGCACTGATTATGACTTACCTATAAATCTTACATGTGGCATGAATAGGGTTCAGCTCTCTCCTGCCTTCCTCACAGGTTTGCACAGATGAAGAATGAAGCTAATCAGTCTGTGGCCTAGTAGTGTGTGTACTCGGAAAATTCTCTTAATCACTACTGTATGTAATATTTACATAAAGACTGTGCTGAGAAGCAGTATAAGCCTTTTTAACCTTCCAAGACTGAAGACTGCACAGGTGACAAGCGTCACTTCTCCTGCTGCTCCTGTTTGTTCGACGTGGCACGGGGCCCTCCTGAGTGATGGTGTCCACGAGGTAAAGAAGCTGCATGTTAAGTGCCATTACTACTGTACACGGACCATCGCCTCCGTCACCTCTGTTTCTCGGGTGACTGAGAACCGTGACATCAGTGTAGTATTTTTGACCTTTCTAGGTTCAAAAGCAGTTGTAGTGTTATCAGGTGTCCTGGGCCTTGTTAATCTCTTGTTTGTCGAGTGCACTGACTGTGAAACCTTACCTTTTGTTGTTGTTGGCAAGCCACAGGTTTGTTATGCAAAAGGCTGATTAATGAAATTTAAGAAAAAGGTTCTTTTTTCAATAAATGGTTTATTTTAGGAAAGCTCAGTCATACTGTCTTTTAATGGTTATCAGCTTCAGAGCCAACACGTTATCTGATACAGAGGTCTGCCCTTGTCACTCATGTGTTCCTCAACAGAAGGGGTACAATCAAGTGTGCTGAAGGTGGGCGCTGGGTTAGGAGTTCCTTTAGGGTCTAGAATCTCCTTGCTGCAAAGGGAAAGAGAGAAATGAAACAACACTAAGGATGTAAGAGGCCCTTTGAAATCTTTGTATATTAACTGCAAGTTTATAACAGATAAAAGTTTAAGCCTTTTTATCACATGTTGGGGGCTCAGTTTATTTTCATATCAAGATGTATAGGTACTGGGTCAATGTAAATACTGCTGAATAATCTCTTGACAAGAAAGCATCTTTTTCAGAATGTAAATATTTCAGCAGTTAGTTTTCTAAAATAGCCCAAATTATATGTCATTGATGGTGTTCTTTTATTTCTTTCTGCTATTAAATTTTTTTAAAGATTGACCTTAAAGCTTCCTGAAATCTTTTTAGAAGATATCTGACTCATTCCTTACACATAGCAGCTGACTCTGGACAAGTAATTTCTCAAGCAGGTTCTGTATTCACCTTCCCTCCAGAGTAGTAGATCCTCTCACATAGAAATTAATGTCCTTGAGAAAGCTGGCACCACGGAAGGATTTGTACAGACACTTAGATTTTTTTTTTTTCAGTAGAATTTTTTGTTTCAGTTTTTTTTAAATGGCTTTTTGAGGTGTAATTTACCAATATGTAATATTTAAAGTATGCAGTTCAGTGATTTTTAGGATAGTTATATAGTGTACAGCCATCATCGTAATCCACCTTAGAATAATTCCATTACCCCAGAAGGAAAGCTCTTGTCCATTTGCAGTCACTCCTCACTCCTACCCCCAGCCTTAGGCAGCCACTAAGCCACTTACTGTCTCTATAGATTTGCCTGTTCTGGACATTTAATATAATGGTCTTTTGTGTCTGGCTTCTTTCACTTAGTGTGATAATTCTAAGGTTGATGCATGTTACAGCATTGTGTTAATACTTCATTGCTTTTTATTGCTGAATATTATTCCGCTGTATGGATATATATGCCACGTGATTTATTTATTCATTTACTGCTTCCACTTTTTGGTTATTATGAATGATGCTGCTCTGAACACTTGCATACAAGTCTGTGTGTGGACCTATATTTTCCTTTCTCTTGAGAGTGGAAATGCTGGCTCACATGGTAAATCCATGTTCAATTTTTTAACAAACTGTCAAACTGCTTCCAAAGTGGCTGCATTGTCTTAATTCCCAACCAGCAACACAAGAGAGTTCTAGCTTCTCCATACCTTTGCCAACACTTAATATTGTCTTTCTTTTTGTAATAGCCATTCTAGTAGATGTCAAGTGTTATCTCATTGTACTTTTGATCTGCATTTCTCTGACCATGGTGAGCATTTCTTGTGCTTGTTGGCCATTCATATATCTTCTTGGTCAAGTGTCTATGTGAATCTTTTGCCCGTTTTTATATTGGGTTATTTGTCTTCTTATTGAGTTGTGAGAGATTTTTATATATTCTGGATACAAGTCCTTTACTAGATATTTGATTTGCAAATGTTTGTTTTTTCCCCCAGTCTGTGGCTTGTCTTTTCACATTTTTAATGGTTTCTTCTGAAGTACAGAAGTTTTAAAATTTGAAGCCTGGTTTATCAACTTGTTCTTTATTGCATGTGCTCTTGATATCCTGTCTAAGAAATCATGACTGGACTCAAGATCATGAAGATTTACACCTATAGTTTCTCCTAAGAGTTTTATAGTTTTAGCTCTTATATTTAGGTCTATCATCTATTTTTAGTTAATGTTTATGTATCACATCAGATAAGGGTCCAGGTTCATACTTTTGCATGTCGATATTTATTAGACCCAGCATTCGTTTGTGGAAGAGACTGTTCTTTCTCCATTGAATTGTTTTGGCATCCTTGTTGAAATCAGTTGACTATAAATCTAGGGGTTTATTTCTGGACTCTCAGTCCTGTTCCATTGATCTATATAGCTGTCTTGTGTAGAACCACACTGCCTCGACTAACGTAGCTTTATAGTAAGTTTTGAAGTGGGGAAGTGTGAGTTCTTCAACTTGGTTCTGCTTTTTCAAGATTGTTTTGGCTATTCTGGGTCATTTGCATTTCCCTATGAACTTTAGGATCAGCCCCCACCAAAACAAAAAATCAGCTGGGATTTTGATAGATTGCATTGAAAATATAGAACAGTGTGGGGAGTATTGTTATCTTAACAATATTACGTTTCCCAATTCATGAACAGGACAGCTCTCCATTTATTTGGATCTTTAATTTCTCTCAGCAGTGCTTTGTGTAATTCAGTGTACAATTCTTGAACTTTTGAAGTCTAAGTATTTTATTCTTTTCATGCTATTGTGAATGAAAGTATTTTCTGAATTTCTTTTCAGATTGTTCATTGCTAGTATATCAGTACAGTTGATTTTTGTATGTTGGTCTTTTATCCCATGGCCTTGCTGAACTTGCTTAATAGCTCTAGTAGTTGTTTTGTAGACTCCATAGAATTCTCTACATATAAGATCATGTCATCCAAGAATAAACAGTGTTTCTTCTTCCTTTACAACCTGGATGCCTTATATATTTTTTCTTGACTAATTGCACTGGCTAGATCCTCCGTCCAGTACAATGTTGAACAGCACTGGTGAGAATAACATTCTTGTCATGATTTTGACCTTAGGTGGCAACATTCATTCTTTTAATTTATGGTGTTAGTTGTGGGGTTTTGGTAAATGCCCTTTATCAGGTTGAAGATGTTTCCTTCTTTTTCGTGGTTTACTGAGAGTTTTTATCATGACTAGATGTTCGATTTTGTCAAATGTTCTTTCTGCATCTATTGAGAGATGATCAGATGATTTTTGTGCTTTATTAATATGGTGTACTACATCAGTTGATTTTTGGATATTAAACCAACCTTGCATTCCTGGGATGCATCCTAGTTGATCATTCTTTACAATCCCGTCTGTGTATTGCTATTGCAATTTGTAATGTTTTGTTGAGGACTTTTGCCTCTGTATTACATGAGGGATATTGCTGTGTAGTTTTCATTTCTTGTGATTGTCTGGCTTTGGTATCAGGATAAGGCTGGCCTCATACAGTGAGTCGGGAAGTTTTCCTCCTCTTAGAGATTGTGAAGAACTGGCATTTTACCATACTTCTTTAAATGTTTGGTAGATTCACTAGTGAAACCAGCTGTGCCTGGGTTTCTCTTTGTGGGAATTAATTAATAATTCAGTAATACTTTTAAGTTCTGTAAGGTTGGTAGTGACGTCTACTTTTTTATTCCTGATTTTAGTATTTTGTGTTTTCTTACTCAGATCTTTTCAGAGAATCAATTCTTGTTTCATTAGTATTCTTTATTGTTTTTCTGGGTTCCATTTCATCTTTTTCCCTCACACTAACCTTTATTATTTCCTTCTTTCTGCATGCTTTGGGTTTAATTTGCCTTTTGTTTCCTTTTGTTTTGTTTCTTAAGATAGAAGATGGTGAAGGTAAAAATTATTGTAAAAATAATCCACAAGACCATTTCCTTTTATATATATAGTTTACAAATAGAGCATATATCTTGAACATATTGTAAGGATAGTTAAAAAAATGTGATGTAAAAGCAGGGGGTAGATTTTCTTTTTTCTTCTAAAATAGCAGCCTCAACTACTGACATTCTGTTCTCTAGAGTGAGGTCAGCAAACCTTTTCTGTAAAGGGCCAGAGAGTGAGTATTCTTGGCTTTGCAGGCTATAGGATCTTGGTTGCAACTACTCAAGCCTGCTGATGTAGCATAAAAGCAGCCATAGCAACACGTATATGACTAGATGTGGCTGTGTTCCAATAAAACTTTATTTACAAAACAAGCAGCAAGTGGGTCTTGGTTTGCTTAATGCTGCTCTAGATCACTAAGCAAAATTGAGAAGCATCATTTTCCTAGGCCAGTAGAACTTATACAAAAGAGTATAAGCTTTCAAAGGCCGTGTGTAATGCTTCCTTATTCATATGTCTATATACTGCCATGAAAAGGTGAATTATTCACTCATCAGGTCAAAACTGAGGTCAGGTGGCTGTGAGCTAACAGGGCTGGTTCCTGTGGGCTTGTACAAAGGTGCTAAAGGCAGCTCCAAGAGGAGTCTGAGCTGGCTGCTCAACAGTGCATGTCTGCCTACACAAGGGCAGCTCTGTCCCTTGAAGCATGCCTTTTTTTCCCCTAGTAAGTGGAGGATCGCATATTTTTCCAAACTCAATGTGCTTGTTCCTACCAGCATGTTGAAGCAGGTAACTTCCCTTATTAGTTGCAGTGTCTAAAGTCACTGCCTTGCAAATCACTCATTTAATGGCATGATAGAAACTTCTGTGCTGCTTGGAATTTTTCACCCTCCCTGTAGCCCGACAGCCTGTTAAATTCCCAGCCTCATCCTGATTTAACATCAAAAGGGTCACCAGTC